CTAAACCTATATGAAAAAAAACTTCGAAGATTGACAATTATAAATAAAAAAAATTGATAATTATATTAGCGATCATTTGGATTGAATATGTTTATTATTGATTGAATTTGTAATAATTTTGTTTTGAATTAAATGGTATTTTCAATTAAAAGCGTGCTTTTCTTATTAAAGACCTTGTTCTCTTTTCTGTAAAAATAATACAAGCAACGGAAGCCAAACCAATAATGTAGAGGTTGTTAAAGTTTTTAACTAATAGAATTTATTTAAAAATTATTGCAAATAGTAAATTCAGGTTAATTAAGTATCCATTTTTATTTATACACGGACAATAAAAATTCTGATTAAATTACAGTAAATTATTGACATTTTTAGTACAATAAAACAACATAATTTTGATTTATCAAACAAAATATGCGGTATTTAAACCGTTCCTTTGGTAATTTTTCCATCCATATGGTTATTTCGGGAAAACGGATTTCCTGAAATTCTGGTTTTCAAAATTATAGTTTTTATTACCATGAAAAATACAAAACTGAAATGTAAATTTCATTAAGTAAATGGGTTTTATGACAAGTTCTAAGGTATCGTGATAAAATTATCATATTTTACCACATTTATCAAATTTTATCCTATCATAAAACCAATTTATTATAAATTTTTACCAAAATTATTACCAAAGCGCATCTGTAAAAATTAACGAGCTTTTCGGTGTTGTTCATAGAGCCATTAACACCGTAAACTTTATCATATTCTAGTAGTATTGACCATTTTCTTCCAGTGTAGCAGTATCTTATAAACGGGGTTAATCTAAAACAGTTTTATTTAATTTCATTAATCGTTATTCTTTAAAGAGATGTTGATTTAAAACTATTTCAAAGGAAATAAGAGAAAATACACCAAACTTAGATTCGATAGTGTTTAAGTTCACATAAATTAAATTTAAATTGAGTGAGCCAATTAAACATTGCAAATTAAACATATTTTTTCAAACCTTTTAATATTTTTGTCCACCAATAGTGTTTTAATCTTCTGTTCAATCAAAACATTCAAATGCTTTCCTAAGTAATACCCATAATTGAAAAAGTATATCTTGTTATAAAAAAAACCACACACAAAAAAATTATGATTGGTTGGCTATTTTTCTTCAAATGAAGAATAAGTTAAATGTATTAGTTTATTTTTTTTTCATCAAGCATCATTATTAACATTTAAAAAATGTTTTAAAATAAAAAATGACAAGTAATTATTTTTGCTTTTCATTATTAAACTAATATTTTACTTGTTTAAGTAACGGTGACAGACATTCTTTTGAGTTTTAACTATTAATTTATTTACACAATAAAAAAATTCATAACTTTTACTCATTTTATTTACTTTTTTTCATACTACAAACTCCTTTAAGTTAATAGCCAAATTTCAAAACAAAACAATATGAAAGCACATGAAGACGAAAGAATTCAGAGAGGAGTTAGGAGGATTGCTTAGTTTAAAATCTGTGGATCTTATATTTTCATATGCTAACCCAGTTTCATTAAACCAAAATTTCTACATATCACTTACAGTAAGTGTAATATTTTTCCAAAAAAATTTTTTATACGACGAAAATTTTCTTTTTCTTCGTGTTTTTTTTTTCTTTCCGAAAACAAAACAAGCCTAGATTTCCAATTCAAAAGGAAATTTAGGTTCAGTTTTATTTTACTTTTCGTTTCTGCACAAAAATTTTTTTTTGCCTCCTTGAAAGGGAAATATTCCTTTGAAAGTAAAATGAATCAGTAATACATTAGCCTAAAAACTGCTTCCTGAACAAATATTTTTAATTTCTTCCCGATAATTATTTTTCATACAACCACGAACAATAAATAAGGTTTCAAAGTCTGTCAGAATGTTACAATTTTTTAACAATATTAAGGTACAAAATGTATTTTAAGAAAGATTTTTAGTTTTTCGTAAAATTTCATTCTACATATAACCGTGAACTCAATAAGGTTTCAATAGCACATTTGTCAGAATGTTTCAATTTTTAAACAAAATTTACAATCAAAGTTTTAATAAAGATTTTTAATTCTTTGTAAAATTATATTTTTGGGTGAGTGAAGTGTATCGGCTAATAGCTAATTTGCGTGAATTTTTCTTTCTCTGCATGAAAATTAAGTTCAATTTTTTCTTATGCTTTCGTTTCTTTTAAAAGTAATTCATTTAAAAATAGTCGGTAACGAATCAAGTACTAAATTTTAAAGCATAATACATTAATATATTATTTTTATTTATTGAAAAAGAATAAAAACTAAAATAAAAACCAAAATCGGTATTTAAAACATTCATTTTAATTTTTTCCATTCATATGGTAACGCTTTACCTGAAATTCTGATTTTCAAAATTATAATTCTTATTATCACACATTTAGTAAAAAAATACGAAATTGAAAAGTAAATTTAACCGAAAAAATGATTTTTATGCCATGCCCCTAGTTATAATGATTAAATTAACATATTTTACCTCATTTACTAAAGTTTAACAGCCATTGTGAAAAAAATATTTTTTTGTAAATTTTACCAAAAGTCTTTACCAAAGCTCTTCGGTAAAAATTACCGAAGTTTTTGGTGCTTCCATTGAGACAGAAACACGGAAAATTTTACAAAATCTAGTAGTTTTAACTATACTACAATTATGGATAGCGTTTTACTACAATTTTAGAAGTAGACCATGCATTTTGTCTCAGCTGGTCTTGCACTCCACTAGAAAAACAGTTTATTTCGACACTTTGTATTACTTTGTAAATTTAATATAGACATTTTTGAAAAACGTTATGACAAACAATGATAGTTCCTTGAAAACCTTACGGAACTATGATCTTAATAGATAGTAGAAAACGTAATTACGTTCATCTCAATCTAAGTTTATAACGTATTTATAGTAAATTATTAGTTGCAGTAATGTTTAGTCGATGCAAATAAATAGTCGTTTCTTTCTTTTTTTTTTTTTTTTTTTTTTTTTTTTTTTTTTTTTTTTTTTTTGCTTAGTAATAATATTAATTCTGATACATAAATTTATAAAAACTTCGATTCTGTGAATTGCTTATAAGGGTAAATAAGGATATTTTCATAATTTACTTAGGACTAAAAATAAAAATTTTAATCAAGTGAATTTTTTAATTATTGATAGTGGTTCACTACACTTTTAGAAGTCTCAACTGGTCATGCAATCCACTAGAAAAACCGTTTATTTTGACACGTTATATTACTTAGTAAATTTAATGCAAACTTTTCTGAAAAACATTATAACAAGCAATGCTAGTTCCTTTGAAAACCGTTTGAAACTATAGACGGGATTACTGTAGATGGGAATTATTCATGTCTAAGTTTAAAACGTACTTACGATTTAAACGTAATTATTAGTTACGATAGTGATTATTCGATGCAAATAAGTAGTCGTTTCCCCCCTTTTCTTAATAATAATAATTCGTTTACATCGATGAATAAAAATTTCGATTCAATGAATTGACTACAAACCTCAATTTCGATTCTGTGAATTGCTTATAAGGGCAAATAAGGATATTTTTATAATTTACTTAGGACTAAAAATAAAAATTTTAATCAAGGGAATTTTTTATTATTGATAGTGGTTTACTACAATTTTGGAAGTCTCAACCGGTTATGCAATCCACTAGAAAAACCGTTTATTTTGACACTTTATATTGCTTAGTAAATTACAAACTGATCTGAAAAACATTATGACAAACAAAGCTTGTTCCTTTGAAAACCTTTTGAAACTATAGACTTTATAGATGGGAATTATTCTTGTCTAAGTTTAAAACGTACTTACGATTTAAGCGTAATTATTAGTTACGATAGTGATTATTCGATGCAAATAAATAGTCGTTTCCTCCCTTTTTTTAATAATAATAATAATAATAATAATTCGTTTACATCGATGAATAAAAATTTCGATTCAATGAATTGACTACAAACCTCAATTTCGATTCTGTGAATTGCTTATAAGGGCAAATAAGGATATTTTCATAATTTACTTAGGACTAAAAATAAAAATTTTAATTAAGTGAATTTTTTAATTATTGATAATGGTTTACTACAATTTTAGAAGTCTCAACTAGTCATGCAATCCTCTAGAAAAACCGTTTATTTTGACAGTTTATATTACTTTGTAAATTTAATACAAACTGTTCTGAAAAACACTATGACAAACAATGCTAATTTCTTTGAAAACCTTTTGAAACTATGGACAGGATTATTATAGATGGGAATTATTCATGTCTTAGTTTAAAACGTACTTACGATTTAAACGTAATTATTAGTTACGATAGTGATTATTCGATGCAAATAAATAGTCGTTTCCCCGCTTTTCTTAATAATAATAATTCGTTTACATCGATGAATAAAAATTTTGATTCTATGAATTGACTACAAATCTCAGACCATGCATTTTATCTCGAAAATCATTTATTTTCACAATTTTTAAAGTTATCAAAGACATTTGCGAAAACTCTGCATATACAAGAATACTGGCATAAACGGCAAAAAAAGTCATTTTTAAAAAATGTACTTAAATTATGAATTGCGGCAATGTGCCTACCAGTTTATTACTTTACCTTCCCCTAATAAGATCCCTTACAATGGGAAATCAATTTCCTTATTCAACAATACCATCAACCCAAAACACGTCGTCATTATTTTCAATAGCCGTAATAAATTGATTAAAGATAAGGAGTATTTTGTAGTGAACGTGAGGACGAATTATACACAGTTCTTCAACCCCCGAAGCAATACAATGGCAAAACGGTCTTCCGTTTGGAGACAATATGAAAAAGCTCACAGTTCCACGTGTCCATCTCTTATCTGGGTGGACCATAGCCTCCGCCAGGGGGGTTGAAAAAGAGTTATGGTCACATGATCGTCTGGCCACGCGTCAGTCGAAGAGGGTTTTTATTGAGTGTCCCCATGGTTCATTAGGTGCAATTTCGCCTGTCCGGAATGATAGCATAAACCGCTACTGCCTCATTCCCACCCCCTTGTCATTGTTCTGCCACTTCTGATGGCGGTCCGTCTTCCGATTGGCTTATCTCAAAGACTACTAAGCCAATAAGAGCGAGGTTTTAAACCCCGCCTACAAAGCGAAACCTACCCTCGTTTCCTGCTGTAGTTCGTCATTGATATTAGACACTTAGTAATAGTGGGTTGTTCTTAGTGCTCGTGGTGGAAAAGTTTTTTAAAAAAAAGCGCCAAAGGAAAATAAAAACATTATTATTTATATATCTAACTTGAATTAATTTATTTTTTAGACCATAAAAAACAATGATGCGCATTAATATCGAGAATTTTTTTAGACTTGTTTATCTTTAGAACTTTCCATGTAGGGACTGATTGTTTATCAACAAGCGAATTCGAAAACTGGACTTACTAACAGTCGGTTACGACTGACTATGTTGGAATTCAACACACCAGCAACAACAGCAGCTAGCTCAATGTTGTCCATGCTCAATATCAACATGGAGGCCTCGCGGCAGAACTTTTTATTGGGAAACCCACCTTTAGCGGCATTGCATTCGATGGCAGATATGAAACCAAATGGTGTGACACCTTATCCTAGTAGCCAGACTTTGAAGCCTTCTCCAATGACACCAACCAGTTCCTCGGGGACGCCCCACGGTATTAATGACATCCTGGGGCGGCCAGTGTGTACATCAGCACCAGCATTGGGAACTTTAAGCGCCCTGCCTCGACTGAGTTTAGGAATGGGTGCTGGTATGTACTTTGGAGGTCCGAAAATCGGGCTTGGTGATTTGCCGGGAAGGCCTCATATATATTGGCCTAATGTCTTGCAAAGTCAAGCACTATGGAGGGATAGATTTGCATCTGCGGCAGGTATGTTTCTTAGATCATTTTTTGAACAATGACTGCATATATTTTATATGAAATGAAAATCTACCATCTACAAGTCCTTTTTCTTTGTCGCTTATATATTACCTCTAAGGTCGACCTATTATGTATATACTTTTTTATATATATATACTTCGTCAATGATTCTACAAATATATTTTAAATGTAAAGAAAATGAGACACTCTTTATTTTACTTATTTAAATACATTACTATGGATTTATAAGCTAACACTAGCGAAATGCATCAATTATTGTTCCGTGTGTGGAAATTATCTCTATTTAATTAAACTTGTTCATTAGTGTCCTAAATTTTCGTCTTTCTTCCTCATTAGAACTTTTCCGTAGTTAAGCTTCTGTCGCAAACACAGTGTATTCAGTTCTAACCACCCTTACTGTTAAATTTTTGGAATCCTTGGGGAAAATGAAGTGAAAAAAAAGTATTCACAATGTCTCAAATTAATATTTAACAGAGGAAAAATATGTTATTGAAATCACTAGAGGAGAAGGCGGTACTGAAAGTTTAACTGTTAATGGAAGCAGAAGGGAGTAGAAAAGCGATTATGTGAAGTTTCGTCTGGCAATTAAACTAATTTTGAAATTTTTCATCCTATATATATAT